TGTTGTTGTTGTTGCTATGTGCATTCGAGTCAGTTCCGACTCATTTGTGACCCTGTACAGGGTTTTTGAGGCTGTAAACTTACGGGAGCAGAAAACCTCATTTTCCCCCCACAGAACAGCTGGTAGTTTTGAACTGCTGACCCTGAGGTTAGCAGCCTGATTCAAAGGCCTTGGTATTCTTACAATCACTTCCCATTAATGTTCTTTGGCCACCAGCAAGGGCTCCTATACACTAAACCTTTATTAGCAGCCAGTTGGATTAAGCTATGGATGGCAGATGGTCAAAAAAAGCAAACATTTTACTATGTTTGAATAGAATTTTCCTCCGATATAAGCCCAAACTAACACTTCTGGTGTATTATTGTAGGATAAGCACTGGATTGTGCTCTAACAGCAAATTCAGCCATTCAAACCCTATACAAAGTTGCTATGAGTCGAAACCAACTTGATGGCATACAACAACCCCTTTTTTTGCTTAGATCCACATCAGCATTTGTTGAAGCAGCAGTCTAGAAATCAAACAACGTATTGCAGTAGGCAAATTTGGTATGCAAGACTTCTTTAAAGTGTTAACGAGCAAAGATGTCACTTTGAGGACTTAGATGAGTCTGGCCCAAGCCTAGGTATTTTCAATTGCCTTACATGCATCTGAAAGCTGGGCAATGAATAAGGAAGACTGTAGAAGAATAGATGCATTTGAGTTATGAAGTTGGAGAAGAATATCCAAAGCACCATGGACTGCCAGAAAAACAAATCTGTCTTGGAAGAAGTGCGGCCAGAATGCTTTTTTGAGGTGAATGTGTCAAGATTTATGTCACATATTTTGGATATTCTTGTATCGTGGTGGTTACAAGTTAGGCTGCTAACCTCATGGTCAGAAATTTGAAACTACCAGCCGTTGCTCAGGAGAAAAATGAGACTTTCTGCTCCTGTAGAGATTTACAGCTTTAGAAACCTTCTACAGGGTTGCTATGAGTTGGAACTGACTTCATGGCATACAACCATGACCACCACCATCAGGACAGACCAGTTTCTGGAGAAGGACATCATGCTTGGCAAAGTGGAGGGTCAGTGAAAAAAAGGATGACCCTCATTGAGATGGATTGACACAGTGGCATCAACAATGGGCTCAGACCTGATGATTATGAAGACAGCACAGGATTGGCAGTGTTTTGTTGCTGTGAGTCAGAATCGACTTGATGGCACCTAACAACAACTCCACTTTAAGGATCCCTAGTGGTGCTGTGCATTAGGTGTTGGGCTGTTAACACAAGGTTGGCAGTTCAAATCCAAGAGAGAAAGATGAGGCTGTCTGCTCTTGTAAAGACTGATAGTCTTGGGAACCCTATATAAGGTTGCCAATTCCATGGCAGTGTTTCTGAATCCCATTTCATTCTTTACCCCCGTTCTTTGTAGTCCATATCCTCATCTCTCCAAGACTTGAAACTGAATTATAGAATTTGAGGTGGACATTCTAAGATGTAGACAACTCTGCTTAGTCCAGCAACAACCTGTACTTCAGGAGTTGTGTTAGAGTCTGGGACAGAGATATCCATAAGCGGTGGTCTCAGTCCTCATAGCCAGGGAATTGTGGAGGAGGAGAGAGACAGAAATGTCCTGGTGTGGGCCCCTCCTTCATGCCCCCACATACCCTTTCCTGGCTCCTATCCTGACACTTAGGAATCTGTAGGGTAACTTCTGTGTATTTTTCTGTTTTTCTAGAAAATAAACTCTGGAGCCAGATTCCTATCACTTACTTATTATGTGATTGTGGGAAAACCACTTCCCCTCTTTCTTCACCTTTTAGATTCTTCATCAGTATAATGGGTTGTAATGACAAATCAAGCCTGAGGGTTGTGTGTGGAGTATAGTAGGATTCGGGAAAAGTTTACTCTGGTTACAATGGCAGGAGTGATTGCCTTCAATCCCGAGTGGCAGTCATGATACCTGACACTTACTATGCAATCAGGAACCATTTGGTGACAGGATGGATGAATGGATGTTATACAGGCATCCAGCACAGGACAGAGTATGGTTTCAGCAACCAAAGGAGTACACGCTCTGTACTCTGGGAACGTAGCAGAGGGGTGAGGGATTCCATCTGTAGGTCTGCAGGGATTTCTGGTGGTGGTCATGCATGAGCAGTGCCTTGAAACATGCATCCAACTTTAGATGAAGCAGAGGAGGTAGCTGTCTACACCAGGAAGAACACAACATAGTGAGTAAGAGCCCAGTCTCTGGAACAAAGTTGCCTAGGTTTGATTGCTGCTTTCTGGAGCTTGGGCAAGCTTCTCTACTTCTCTGAGGCTTTCTGGAGCTTGGGCAAG